AATCTCTGCAACACGGAACATAGGATCGGAAGACCAGTAGAGAGATATATTTGGAAGTACGTGAATGCCCATAAGTATCAAAATACCAAAAAAAGCTTTTAGTTCCTGTAATGTTACAATATCCCAATCTTTCTGTCGGTTTTGGGCTGCATATAAATTTGTCTGATCAACTATGTTCAATAGGACTTCATCATTGAAAAATACATTGAAATATGCCCCAGGAGAACTTCGATTAGGAAAAAACTGTGATGGTCGCAGTAAAATGTCATCAAATTTCTCAGTAGGTGGAATGTGTGGAAACTGCACTTTTTTCCACTCTTCATCGCCATCATCTTCCGAGTTATCTTCTGAACTGTCTTCCGAGTTATCCGTGTCATCAGCTTGTGTAACCACAGGTGCAACAGGTCTTGTGATTGAAGACATTCGAGAACTAGAGGGAGTAGGTTGAGTACTACCTGCAATACTATCATGTGTGATAGATATATCCATATTAGAAGATGACGGAAGAATCGAAACTGTTGATGTTGTTGGCTGTGATTCATTCAGACCAGATCCACATAAAATATCCTGAAGTTCTGTACTGGTAAATGATGAGAAAACTGCTTCATTCTCGTCCTCATCACTCTCATTGCCGTCTTCGGAGTTTTCGCCGTCTGACAGAGCAAATAAGTCTGCGAGAGCATCTTCCAACTTCTCTAATGGGATCACCTTTAATAAGCAAATATGAAATTATACTACATAATATTTATACATAAATTTAATTGTAAGAATTCTATACAAAAAATTACATTCGACACTGCCCGCCCAGGGCTTTCTACTAGGATTTATACCAGCCCAGTCCTGGGCGGGCAGAGTCGAATATATCGACGTCACAATTTTTCGTTGAATATGTATGTCAAAACATAGTAATTTCAGAAATACTGAGTTAGCTGCAATATTTATAATATTTAGAACAAATCATAAAAGAAAACTTACCTTTTTACTCATTTTTCGCGAAGATGTCCTTAGATGAAATTTGCACTTCAGAAAACCGCCAAATAATGACATGAGATGTCATCAGCTGTCAATGTCAGCCATACTTTTTTTTTCTTTGTTGCGTTTCGTTTTTGCTATGACCTGTCCGAATCGAATACAGACTATCGCAGTACCAAACTCCTAGCAGTTTAAAAATAAATCAATAAAAAGTATGGTGTCGAATATATCGACAGAGCCCCATAAAGGGTAAAGTCTCGCACAATGTTTATATTTCCTGTTCGCGGTGGCCGGTGAGGACGCCGCCGCGGGCGCGAACGGCTCGCGTTTCTCGGTCCGCGCATGCGCGTCGTGCACGCGCCAACCTGTGCGTCGGGCGCCAGCAGTTTTTCCACGTGTTCGCATTGGGCTGCTTGTGTCGAACTCAATCACTCACCCACGTTTTGACCGGAGACGACATTCATCGCGCGATCCTCCATGCCCTCAATCTCGGTGATCTCCAAGGCCAGCCTTATCTTGATGAGTTTTTCCCACACTCTAGTTCTTCTTCAGCTTTAGCTTCAGCTAGGCGCGGAGACGAAGCGCTTCGCGGCTGAGGTGACTCGATCGCGAACCTGTCGACATGGCAACAATTTCACTACGTGACGCCGTAGGTACACACGTATTTTCCGTACCGGGATGCTCAGCTTCAGCATGACCTATGCTTCGTATTAGGACACTGCAAACTTTGTCATTCATTGTGATTCAACTCGAAGGACCAATGTAACAGATTAGGGCTGGATGTTTCTACAACGCATTAAAAAACGGAGAAAATTGGCGGGAACGCGGAGCGTCTTCGAACATGCTCACTCACTCAACGTTTCGGCGGCGACTGCAGTTGGCGCGAGCGCGGAGCCCGCTCGAGCGAGGCGTGGGCGGGACTTCGAATTTTGAATTTTAGCGCGAACGAATTCACAACGTTGCCACCATTTTTCTTCTTTCAAAGGAGGTTTTTAACATAGAGTTGCCTACGCTTTGTGTGATCCATAAATTGTCCTGAGTCTGTGTGTCATGTGTATGTAAAATTGTATGATTGTAAACGCACCCATTACACAGGAGAATACGCTAGAGTGAGAGAAAAAAAAATTTGGAACGTCGAAGAAGTTGTCATCAAAAACCATCCATAAATTGCCCTCAAACTATTAAGTAACTTATTATAATGTAGGTACATCCATACTTACTTAATTCATTGTAATTTTAAGAGCTGTACATCTGCCCACGCGCGATTCTCTCGAAGCGATTGGAAGGAAGCAACGCCTACTAGATGAGGCAAAAACCTGATTTGCAATAAAAAATATATTTATATACCTATTTATGCAATTATTAATAGCTAGACGAAGTGTATTTATAACTTTGGTGAGACACAATAACTAAATAAATTATCTTAATAAAATATAATATAAAATAATATAAAATAAAATAAAATAAAATAAAATAAAATAAAATAAAATAAAATAAAATATAATATAAATATAAAGTTTTCGGCTTACTCACGAGGAACTCGACTAGTATCAAGCCAATAGACAAGAAATGCTGCTCATGAATATGTGCCTGTGTGAAAACATAATATGTTTTGTTTTGTACATATTATGTAAAAATCACAGATATAATAAAGAAGTTTCTGTGATAAAAATACATATCCAAAACTACAATCTAAGTTTAAAAACGTTTATAAATGATGTTTTAAATTTGTTTTATTGGTTAAGCCAATAAACAAGCAGACGGATCACCTGATGGTAAGCAATCGGAGCCAGAAACACAAGCACTTGTGGCCAGCCTTTTGGGGATGAATTGGAGGACTGTTGAGGATTCGACGATTAGGGATATAATTGATCCTCCAGTAACCTCACTCACACGACAAAACAACGCAAGTGTTGTTTCACGACAGTTTTCTGTAAGGTCGTGGTATCACTCCGGTCGAGCCGGCCCATTCGCGCCGAAGCATGGCTCTCCCACACTTAAGTTTATGACAATGACAAGGAAGAATATCAAGAGCTATTGACATAAAAAAATAACAATTGTTTATTTATAAATTAAAAAAAAAAAACATCACACTGGCACGTATTAACCCGATGAAAATAGTTGAAAATCATCCCCTAAATTTGTTCATACAAAAGTAGTCTCAAAACATTGGAAATAAGGTCTATAATGTAGTTAGTGGAGAGCTGTCACCGGTGACCGATTAGGGTTATATGGGTAACACTCTTTATGCTCAAGTAAAATAATTCTTGTATAAACTGCGTTTAAAATAACCAAAAACACTATTATGAAAACCGCGTCAAAATCGATTCAGCCAATCGCAAGATAATCTCGCACAAACATACATAGATATACATACATACATACATACAGGTCACACTGAAAACCTTCTTTTTTATTTTAAAGATGGTTTTGATCACAAACCTTTTTTTCAAGTGAAACAAGTGAATTTATTTCTGCAAATAGGCTACAAGGCAGCACTTTTACACGTCAATTTTATTAAGCGAACGATGAGGCCGACATTTCCTAACTGACTACTCTGAGAAGAAATGCCGAAACAAACTCAGAGGTCTGTCTCTTTTAAAGTCCAGACAATATGTATAACAGATTATGTGTGAGAACCGTGCAAGTTCTTTCTGTAGTGGCCTTTTGAGGAAAGAACCACAACAGTTTGAGCGGACCCGTTCTGAAAGCAGTACGCATGTGTCGGTTTACAGTCAGCTCGATTAACAGGCGAGGCTAACTGATTCGACGAACAATACCAATCTAAAGAACATTTGCGTAGGTCGCACAAATACTCAAACTGTCAGAATATGGGTAATTAGAAAAGAAATGGCGAGGCAAAGTCTCGCACGGTCCTAGCATTAACAATTTTAAAATAAAAAGTAAATGTCAAGTTCTAACAACATACTAAATTTTTCAAATGAAACATAATGTCACATTAAAGCTTCGGTCTATATTCGTAAAACTCCCCTAAAAAAAAAACATAATTTTCCTATCACTTTCACTTTTCTTAAACCAGAGACCATGAATTTAAAAAAATCGTGTATTAAAATAATAATTCGAAATTAGAATTTCAATCTCGACCACTCAGCGACCGCTGTTGAAACATACATGACTTGAGGCATAAATTAACAGAAGGTTATAAATATAAGTCTACTGGCCATTTTTTAATAGTTGCCATAAAGATTCCGTATCAAAGAGGTCAAGAGAAAAAAAATCCATTTTCAAATTTAAGTTGACGAAAATAGAACGTGTGTTGTGTTTACATTTTATTAGTTTTAAAAATGGCGGATTTTGGGTCGAATTTTGTATTGCAAAGGCCCCCGGGAGCAATTGAAGCGATTAGAAAAATTCATAATTTGGACAAACCAGGGAGATTGGAAGAAGCATTAAATATATTACACGATTGGATTCAAAAACAGCATCATTTGACAAAAAAGGACTTTAGTAAGTACTTCTATTTTTTTAAGGTTTATTTTTGTATGTTGAAGCTACACTAAATACATAAACGATTTTGCGCAACATATTTTATCCAGTTAAAAATTTTTTTTTCTTAATTCACGGGACCAGTGTCCCGGTCATTTGGTAGGCGTACGAGGGGCCGAAGCCAACTGCGCAGAGGCCCTTTAGACAACTTTAATCTAAATGTAATGGACTCACAAACCGGCGACTATCTCTGTATGCACTATGGAAATGCACCCAAAGACAGTCCCCAGTTAGTGTAGAACTATTGTGGATAATGGAAAAATAAAGGTAGGGCTATGGATGGGTTGCTGTGGACTCAGATCATCTGCTCCAGCCGAAGCCTCCTGCATCCCTGGCCCACTCGCGACTTACGAATAGTTTCTTACCCTCCGAGTAGGATCACTGCTCTCGCGACTCCATTCTGGACGGCCAATGAAGGCTTTTAGTCAGTAAAAGTCTGACTTGTTTAAGAGGGGAAAATCATCGATTGACTTCTCCCGCCTGGGTGAGGCGGGAGGGAGTGTCAGACTCTTACTGACTAAAAACCACACCGTTCCCACTCGAGGAAATTAATTACTTACAACAACAAGTACCCAAACCTTACAAAAAAAAGGTTATCTGACTAATATAATAAAAGACAAAGTTTGTGAGGATGTATGTGTGTGTCTGTGTTACTCTCTCACGTCAAAATTGATGAAGGGATTGAAATGAAATTTGGAACTAATCTACCCCAGATTATGCTCTAAAATGTCATATGAGCCATTTTTATCACACGGTTATGCGGGCAAAAGCTAGTCCTTCAGAAAGATATAAATTCCAAATTATAATAATAATTATCTTCTGTGCTACGGCTACCGCAAAGCCTGAAGACGAAAGTCTTTAACGAGTGCGTCCTACCAGTCATGACATACGGAGCCGAGACGTGGACACTAACAGTGCGACTGGTCCACCAATTTAAGGTAGCGCAGCGAGCTATGGAGAGGGCTATGCTCGGAGTATCTCTGAAGGATAGGGATCCGTAACGAGGTGATCCGACAGAGAACTAAAGTTACCGATATAGCCAAAAGGATTAGCAAGCTGAAATGGCAGTGAGCCGGTCACTTTTGTCGAAGAACCGATGACCGTTGGGGTAGACGTGTTCTGGAGTGGAGACCGCGTCTAGGCAAACGTAGTGTAGGGCGCCCTCCAGCTAGGTGGAGTGACGATATACGTAAAGTGGCTGGTAGTGGTTAGATGCGTAGAGCTGAAGACCGAGCTCAGTGGCGTGCTATTGGAGAGGCTTATGTCCAGCAGTGGACGAAAACAGGCTGATGATGATGTGCTACGGCTCGAATAAGCCGGCTCGAAAGGAGTGAATCTTCCGTCTTGGCTTCATACATCTCGTCGAAGTATTCCATAAATTCTTTAGACGTTAACGCATCTCGCCATTCATCTGTAAGAAAAAGATTAAGAAATGAAAATTATAATTTATAATACACGTAATAACAATAAGTGTGGGAGAGCCATGCACGAATAGGTCCGCTCGACCGGATACCACGGCCTCACAGAAAACCGACGCGAAACAACGCTTGCGTTGTGTTTCTCTGTGTGATTGAGGGTACAAAAGACCCGATTCTTTTCCCTCGCAATCTTCCCATCCGCAGTCCCCAAATCTCTAAAAGACTAGAAATAGTTTTGTAATTTCTTTGGGTGAATTTTTTTTAAGGGGGGAAAATCATCGAATGACTGCTCCCGCCTGGGTGAGGCGGAAGGGAGTGTCAGACTCTTACTGACTAAAAACCACTCCGTTCCTTCTCCTGCACGTCGAACCGGAGCCCCGGTTACCCGTTAGGTTCTCCGCGACACTTTGGGTGTATAAGCGGCGCCGATTGCTTACCATCAAGTGATCCGTTTGCCACTCTATCGCACAAAAACTACCTTTTAAGCGCAGATATTGTTAGTACCTAGTTGAATTACGAGTGGTTGTATGTGCGATTGCCGGGCAAGGGGTCTCGGGTTCGATTCCCGGGTCGGGCAAAACGACCGTAGTAGCACGGAGTTTGGAATTGTGTCCGGTATATGGCAAAAGGTTCACCCCCTATTGGCTAGTACATGGGACTCATAACGTAAATAGTGAAACGTGGGTGTTAAATTGTACAGTGGTATAATGTGCACCTCTGCCTACCCCTTCGGGGATAAAAGGCGTGATGTTATGTTATGTTGAATTACTATTTTTTTTTGGAGCTAACGTCAAAATTCTGTCGACAATATCGTGAGTAATTTAAAAGACAAAGAACTATAAACAAATTAAAATTAAAACCGTAGATGTTTTATTTTTATTTCTTACGCCTCTTCGTCTCAGCAAGGTTATTAATGTAATTACTATGAGAATCTTATATAAATCAAGTTCATATGAAACTTGTTTTATTATTATGTATATAAATTATATAATATTAAGTAATAGGTCTGCGTTAGAAGTTATTGTATGATATTCCCCTATTTTCCCAGTTATTAGTGTAGCACTTTAATTATACCTACTCGGAATTTTAATTCGATTCTATATTTGACAATTTCAGTGTTGCAACGTTATGACAAGTACTAAATAGTGACGTTGCGAAATTATTCGATATGGAAATGCAATATTTCTGAATCGATTCTTCTCGTTTATAATTTTACTCCCGTAAACTAAGTATATCAGGAAATTAAATATTTCTGAACCGATAATTTAGTTTTGACGATTAATTAACGATCTACCTTTCTTTTATAATTGTGTGTGAAATAAATAAAAAAATGTAATCATGAAGGAACATGACAAATAAAACAGATATAGTAATAAGTTATTTTATAAATTGTCGCCGTCATCGCTATCGCTATTCTGTCACTTTCTGTAACATTTATTATAAAACACACACACTGATTGTTAACGATTTTTGTGTTCATGACTACACTATTATATGTGGTATCATTATTTCACAAAATGACAGTAGCTAAAATTCTGTCTATACTTAGAAATCGTCAAATCGTCCATTAGTTACACAAGTCTACTTAGTGAAAAGAAACTAAGTATGAAATCTTTAAAGTATTCGTAAATATTAAACAAGTATTTAAACAATAATTTTACAATAGCTATAAAATAGATATTTACCCGAGTTTTATTTAAGTATTTAAACTATAAATTTACAAATCCAAGACTAAAATAGATATCCCATTTGACATCTTGACGTTTTTTGACATTTACTTCAGTGAATAGGACCTAAGCAAAACATGATTTACTACATCATCATCCTACATACCTAATATTATGTTTTTACTCATTTTAAATGTATCTATTGGCTAAGGCTTCTGATGACCTAGCGGGTTACCGGAGTCCTGGCACCATGCACGAGTAGGAACGGGGTGGTTTTTATTCAGTAAGAGTCTAACACTCCCTCTCGCCTCACCCAAGATATGGAGTTATTGATTTCATTCTCGCTTCATAAAAATTTCATAAAATTTAAATATCTATATATATAAAAGAAAGTCATGTTAGTTACACTATTTATGACTCAAGAACGGCTATATCGATTTGGATGAAAATTGGTGGACACGTAGCTTAAAACTAGGAGACGGACATAGGATACTTGTTACCCAATACTTTTTTTTGACTTTTAACCGAAAATCAAGAACGGGTACGGGAAATATCGGGATTGCGCGTACGAAGTCGCGGGCAGAAGCTAGTTTATTATGAATGCCAAAGTGTCTAAGGTCCAATGGACGTTTAACTCGTGGAATGCCGGAACGTAGATCTAAGCGAGACACAATGTGTTTTCTATTGTGTCTCATATACCGGCACTCAAGAGGTTAATACTCTTTTGTGAAAACATTCTCCTTCTTCTTTTTATGCTGCCACTTCATTCTTGAAGGTTGGCCGTCAGCTCAGAAAATAACTCTGGTTCTGATTAAAATGTAGATAGTACAGAGATAGATTATAAACGTTGAAAATTCGTTGTATGGATATTCTGTCTAAAATTGTAATCGGTTCAGAGAAGAATTCTAACTGTGGGAGAGTCATGCTTAGGCACGAATGGGTTATTTTGCCCGGAGTGATACCACGGCCTCACAGAAAATCGTCGTGAAGCAACGCTTGCGTTGTGTTACGTTGTGTGAGGCGAGTGAGGTTCCTAGAAGCTCCAATCTCCTCGAGTCTCCACCAATACTAAAATTCCTAATTCCTAAAAGGCCAGTAACATAAGGCATTTGTAATGCCTCTGGTGCTCCAGGTGTCCATGGGCGACGCCGATTGCTTACCATCAGGTGACCCGCCTTCTCGTTTACCGGCTTATACCAAAAGTAAATTAATTATAGCCACAAAAATTGCCTGCTTCATAATGCGTCGTTGCTTAAATTGTCTTTGGACAAGTTTTTTAGTTAGTTTGTGATCAAGGTATTCTATTTTTAAAAGATTGAATTGAATTTTTTTATGGAAAGGTTAAGTTACAAGTTTTTATTACCTATTTTAGTGTTTATGTATACCTATTTATATAAATAATAAATAAAAATAAATAAA